GCTACGAGCCGCTGGAGGAGCCGGCGCCCCGCGACAAGCCCAAGAGGAGGTACCGACAGAGGCTGAAGAAGTACGGCAAGGTAGGGGACCCCCCTCCCCCGGCCACTGCCCCGGCCCTGGGCTTCCTGATGCACCCGCGGGGGACCCAGGCGGGTCCCCACCGTCCGACCTGCTCCCCGTCTCTGGGCCGCTCCTGCGTCCCCCTCTCCCCATCCCCCACTCCCACCCCCAAACTGTCCCGTCTGTGACCTGGGCAGGGAAGGAAAAGTAAGTTGCAAGGAATGACGAACTAAAGCAGAGGTGTCGCCGAGCACCGCTTCGCCGGCTGCTGGCTGGTTAATCGCAGTCACTCCAGGGTCGCTTACCCAGGTGGTTCCTATTTCTGGGGTGTCTTCACTCCCTTGTGTCACCCTCAGGACAGAAATTAGTGTTCCTGCTTTAAGGATGGGAACGCTGAGGCCTGAGCATTGGTAGGTGACATGCATGGTGACCCAGCTGGAAAGCAGAGAGTGGGAGCCTAGTTTTTGTGTGTTCTGGCAACATTCTCCCCAGGATGTCCCACCAGCTGAGAACTGTTTGGGTTATTCCGCCCCCCACCCCGGAAAATCCCCAAGGTCTTTCACAGCCTCCAGCTCAACAAACTCACAAATATGCACAGCTCTCTGTGCTCTGGGGCCTGTCCGCATACTGCCAGTTGCCTGGAGGGGCGGGGGCGGCTTCTGGGGTGTAGAGAGACACAGGAAGAGAGAGACTATGGGGTAAAATGCCAGTGTCTGCGGAGATCAGTGCATCTGATTGGGAGCACTTGAAGCTGCCGAACCCTACAAAATCACAGAGCTGGTGGGGTCCTGGCCAACGGCCAAGGGCCCCACCTGATTTGTCATCCAGTTATCTGTGTCCTCCAGTGGCCCTTATCACACCTGAAACCAGCCAGTCTGCATACCTAGAAGCTGAGGTTTGTCCTCCTCTATAAAGATATGTCAGCGGCTGTGGGAGCAGTTTACAATCAGGCCGTGGTAAAACACATTAATAAAAACTACAGACTTGGGACTTGCAAGCGTAGAGGCGTACTAGGACTGATCCTTCTTCACGATCCCAGACGAG